CCCTCTCCAAGGACCGGTCTCTCCTCACTACATGTCCAAGGTAAGTTAGACGGAGCCTCAGAATCCTTGCCTCCAAGGAGCATTTTTTCCAAATAGTCTTTCTAAAAGAGTATGCAAAGAACTGCCTTGTTGTTGTCAACCACAGCTGATGATCTTGAGGGTTTTGTAAAACAAGAGTGACTATCCTACTCCTGAGAAACCCCAGCTGAGACCACACCGGAAGTGCGGCAGGCGACGCGACCTAATAACATTTCCGCTGCGATCTCGGAAATGTCGCAAGGGTACAGCAAGAGCGCTCGCGCTGTTAGGTCCAGCCAATCAAAAACCAGGGGCGTGGCCAACCAAGCAAATGCAGGGTTAGCAAACCGAAAGTGTTGCACTTTACCTGCCGGTTGTATTAGGGCGGTATGGAGGCTTACGAGCAGGTCCAGAGGGGCCCCCTGAAGCTGAAAGGCGTCGCGGAGCTCGGCGTGACCAAGAAGTAGGACTCGCGAGACCTCCTCCCCTGACCCCTAATGCCTTTTCTAGCATCCTCTTTCTTACCCGTCCATCTTCATTGCCATCTCCTTCTATTCCCTCTTAGAAAGAAGAAAAAGAAGGACAAAGACAAGGCGAAACTTTTGGAAGCGATGGGGACGAACAAAAAGAATGAGGAGGAGAAGCGGCGCGGCCTGGACAAGCGAACGCCGGCCCAAGCGGCTTTCGAGAAGATGCAGGAGAAGCGGGTAAGTTGCAAGCGAGGGGTAAGCAAGATGGGCTGGAGCTGGAGGCCGAGCAGCCGGAGAAGCCTCTTATTTTGGGCAGAGGATGCTTCATGAGACAGTGAGGATACAAGAGAGGCTGCGTCTCTCCGAGGTCTAGGATGAGAAGGCGCCACTTGTCTATGAGTGGATCACTGAGGGGACCGCCCAGTTCAGAGACGTGGGTTGGGTGGAGCCCAGCTGTCATTCATTTGATGAGACGTTTGAGTGAAAGTTTACAAAGCAGGTTGTTTTTTCATTCAACCATTCATACACCTTTTGTTATTTGAATCAGAACACTCACAGTGTATTTTCCCATTTATTTCCATTAATTCATTTGCTCTGCCCCTGGCTACCGGCAGGGCTTCATCCTGGGACAATGACTGCTTTTTTGAGAAAAATCATAGGTCTGACTAAGAAGTCCTGCTGGCATGGTGTATATGTTGGCTGCTAACCATAAGGTGGGAGGTTCAAAGCCACCAGGCATCCTGTTTGAAAAAGATAAACAATCTCTTATATTTTTTTTAAATAAT